TATTAGCTTCATTCAGTTGTGAAGCCATAGTCTCAAACTCTCCTGAGAGTCAAGAGACAAAACTGTTCTGTGTGAAGAGCACGGACTTCAGAAAGCATAGATGAAGTTTATCTTAATTTCCCAACTGTAAAACTGGGCAGTAGCAATTAATAGTGACAAAGTTATTTTCAAGATGATGTGACGTGATGGATTTTTCCATTCAATGAAAGTTTTTAAAATCCAACCTTGTGGATGTTATCAGCTTTGTATTCAGTCTCAGGTGACACGGGGTGCATTAGTGATAGCCCAATCCAAATAATACCAAGAATATTTGTGCAAAGCTATGGAACATCCTGTCAATACTTGGAAAAACTTTCTGAGAGGAAAAATATGTAGTACATAGTTACAAATTGCTTTGTAACATAAACATATTTGGACAATCCAATTCTGGCATTTTGCTTGTTTGTTTTTTTAAATCTAGGTGGCTGACTTCTTATCTTTTAAATTCCTGTAACATTTTGACTGTCGTTTCATAAACATCCTTGCACTACATTCCTTTCCAGAGGAAATGGAAAATCGGTGATATTCTATTCACAAAGCACAAAGTATGGTATGATGCCTCCTTATTTCCCTTTTAAATGTATCACCTTAATGTAAATTTAATATTATTTTCAGAACAAAATATGTCTATTGTTTATCCCCCCCCCCCCAAATTTAACCCCAAATGTTCAGTTTAGAAACACTTCTAGAAAATGAAACTAGTCACTACACCTAAAGTCTTCTAACCATCACATTTAAATGCAGTTCTTTAAAAATAAACACTTCCTTTAGAGGGACTCAATAATTATGGCATTTTCTTCAATAAATAGTGAGGTTTGGACATACATTTAATACACCAATGCATTTTAAACAGTTACACTTTGCAAATAAGCTTACACAAACATTCATTTACTTATGCATTAACAGTAAATCTGTCCTTAGAAGAATCAAACACTCTTGCATCATTTTTAACACCATATTTACTGCACAGATTAAATCTACCCATTACCAAAGTAAGTATCAAATCCTCTGCGGGTTGGAAGGCATTCCTTTCTGTACATCCCTAAATGCCACTTCCCCACCATGTGAGTAACATATCCTGCATCTTTAAGCAGCTCTGGGAGGAGTTTCTCATCAAGTGGTAGACAGCTGGGCTGGCACGGCCAAATTATTTGGTGTTGTAAACCCGTGTGGATCTAGCAAGGAAAGGAAAGAAGAAAGATTACTTACAGTGCAATGACACATGTATGTAGGCTGTATATCAGGCCCCAAAATAATAAATACTATGCAGCAGGCTAGCATCAGTTTTTATGGCCTGTTTTGAGGAAGTTCAGGAACCCAAAGATGGAGGATATGGAGGAAGACAATGAAATAGCATTGTTGGTGTTAAGAAGAGGACCTTCTCAAGTGGAAATCAAGTACAAAAATGCAATTAAAAAAAAACCTGGAAAACCTATCAATTAACAACTACCCAACTACCACTACAGTCTTTCTGTTAGACCTCTAACTATCTATGTTTTTAAACTTAACAAGTGGTGAATTGCGTATGTCTTCACAAAAGTATGACCAGTAATGAAGTAATGATAGTCTGATTAGCACATCATGTTCAAGGCAAGAAATCTCTTCCATGACTACATACTATAAGCTAAATTTTGTTAATTCCCTTATCTTTGACAACATAGACAGTGGGATCAAGTTTACCTTCAGCCAGTTTGCTGATGACATCAAACTGAATGTTGCAGGTGAAATGAGGAAGGGATGCCATACAGATTGACCTGGACAAGCTTGAACAGTGGACTCATGAGAACCTAATGAGTTTCAATTGTGCCAAGCACAAGGCATTGCTCTTGGGTTGAGGAAATCCTAGATATGTATACAGACTGAGAGAAAAACTCATTGGGAGCAGTCCTGCAGAGAAGGACTTGGGGGCTCTGGTGCACAAAAAGCTGGACATGAGCCAGCAGTGTGCACTTGCAGCCCAGATGTCCAATAATACCCTGAGCTGCATTAAAAGAGAGTTGGCCAACAGGGAGAGAAAGGTGATCTTTTACACTGCCCTCATCAGGCCCCATCTGAAATAAATGGGTCCAGATCTTGAGCCCCTAGTAGAGAAGTGACACAGCTGTTGGAGCAGGTCTAGAAGAGGGCCACAAAGATGATCAGAGGGCTGGAGCACCTTTCCATGAGGAAAGGTTGAGGGACTTGGGCTTATTTAGCTTGGAGAAGAAAACGCTCTACGGAGACCTCACTGCAGCCTTCCAGTACTCTAGAGAAGCTGATAAACAGGAGCTGGACCGACTTTTTACACAGACCAACAGCAACAGGACAGGTGGCTTTAAACTAGAAAAGTAGAAGTTGTATTAGATGTTATGGAGAAATTTTTCACGGAGAGGGTGGTAGTTGATGGAATGGACTGCCCAAAAAAGCCGTGGCTGCCCCATCCCTAGAGTTGTCCAAGGCCAGGCTGGTGAGGCATTGGGGAGCCTGATCTAGTGGGTTTCATCTCTGTCCACAGCAAGTGGGTTGGAACTGGGTGGACTTTAAGGTCCCTTCCAAATCAAGCTATTCTGTGATTTCCCACCAAAAACCAAACCAAACTAAACCATAAAAAAAACTTTAACCTAGGATAGAAAACACATTATGCATGCTTCTTTCTGGCTCAGACTCTGAGACAACACCATACCCAACCATAACACTCCAAATTCTTACTATTTTTGTGATTGGTTAAGAGAGGACTTGCAGCAAACTGGTAACTATTGAAACAGGACTGTAAGAATCTTGTGAAGGCCCCACAACAAAATCCTACACTGTAACACCCTTCTGAAAAGTTGCATAACAAACACATGTGCGCAAGCTGTGGAGAAATCAAGAGTTAGCTGCCTTGCTTAAGGAGGTCTTGGGTCCCCCTTCCAACCACGAACATGATCATCATGCAGAGGGAGAAGCACATCTGGTACAGCATGCACATGGCACATGATACCAGACACCTTCTGCCTGGCAACAGCTCCTCGCCCAACTGGAAGGGGCCATCATATGGCATAAGAGGCACTGCCAACCCGAAAGCCAGTGGCATATGCCCCACCACATCCTCCACCAGTCCAGAAGAACAAGGAGGAGAACAGACTCAAGGACATCATGGGATCTGCAGTGGTGGCTTGCTTTTCTTTCCTCTTTTTTTTTTTTTTCCTCTCTCTCCTTTTCTTCTCTTTTTCCTCTCTTGCTTGCCTGTCTTTTAATAAATAAAGGCACATTCTTGTTTGATCAACACACTATTTTGAGTGCTAATTTGGATAGGTTGGGATCAACATAATGAACCATAAGCCTCTCTGGCTTGCAACACACACACATACAACTTTAAATATCTTATTTATATTTCTAGTAATAGCCACTGTCAAAGCACAAAATCAAGACTGAATTCCAAGTATTTCCAATTTCTACTTTTAAGATCAGAAACAGTGATTTCCCATTGACGCTGACCCATATCTAAATAAGCACATTAAGAATAAAATGGGCTCCAGAAATGGTCAATATGATGAAAATGGGAAATTTACAATGAAAGATATAGAGTTGATTAAAAAAAGAAGAAGAAGAAGAAGAAGAAGAATATATTACATCTTCTTATGCCTTATTACTCACTTTTAATGTTTGGAAATACAGCAAATGTTGCTTGCAAAGGGTAAGTCCCATCTAGTGCAGTTGCTCTGAGACAAGAGACAACATCCAGGATGACAAAGAGACATTTATTTTCATTCTGAATGGTTTCCCCTGGTAAATCACTATGATTAACATTAGAGGACTTCTTTAGAGAAGGAAGATGTTCTGCATAAGCACTTAACCCTCTATCACTTCCTCCATTTTGACCTTCCCAAATTCTTCTTTCTCCTGTCTTTGCCAAAGTTGCAATAAAAAATAAGAGGAAAAGGGAAAAAAAAAAAGTAAAAAAAAAAAGTACAGTAGAGCATGAAGACCAAATCTTACACTCATGCAACAGAAAAAAAAACAAAAGTAGATCATGATCATACTACAAAGAAGTGAGACAGCCAGGTTAAGGCTAAATCAAAGGACACACAAATGTATGTGCCGAGGACATCACATGAAGGAGGATGTGTAGGTAAGAAAGCATTTAAACACTGTGTTAGAAAAATAAATTACACACACAATTACAGAACTGCAGGGGTTGGAAGCGACTTCTGCAGATCATGGAGATTCCTTAGGGTAGGTGGCACAGGAAAGCGTCCAGGTGTGTTCTGATTATCTCCAAAGGAGATTCACAACCAATCTGGGCAGCTGGTTCCAGTGCTCTGTCACCCTCAAGTAAAGGAGTTTTCCTCTCATTCGCATGGAACTTCCTGTGTTTCAGTTAGTGCCCCTTGTCCTGTCTGTGGGCATCATGAAAAAGAGCCTGACCCCATATTCTCGACTGTCAGACTTTAGATATTTACAAGCATTGATAAGATCCCTTCTCAGACTGCCTTCTGCAGAACAGAAGGCAGAACAGTCCCACATCTCTCAGCCTTCCTTCATCCTGCCCCAGGCCCTTCATCATCACTGCGGCACTCGCTGGCCTGTCTAAAAGTTCCTTCCCGTCTTCACCTGGTAGACCAGAGCTGGGCACAGACCTCACGAACGAAGCACATGACGCTGATGCGGCTGGATGTCGAACCACATGCCCCCCGTTCTGCAGTTCATAGCAAGACAGAGGTCTGCGACAGGGACCTTTTTCACCACACGCTGCCAGCACTTCGGCTTTTCCGAAGCACGGCTTTCTCACCCCGTTTGGTTTTACAATCAAAAAGAGAACGGTGACGGGTTTGTTTCCACCAAGCGGCACGAAGCAGCCCCGCTCCCACGCGGGCAGGCTGCTCGCGTTACAAACAGCGGCGCACCAGACATCCCCGCCGCTCCCTACCTGGTAGCGGCCGCTGAGTAGCTGGCTGCGGGACGGCGTGCACAGCGGCTGCGTGTAGTAGCGCTCCAGCCGCACGCCGCCCGCCCCCAGCGCGTCCAGCCGCGGCGTCCGGATGGCCGAGCCGTGCCAGCCCACGTCGCCCCAGCCCAGGTCGTCGGCCAGCACCAGCACCAGGTGCGGGGGGGACCGCGCCGCCGCCGGCCGCGGCAGGCACCACAGCAGGCACCACAGCACGCACAACCGCTCCATCCCCGGCCGGCAACCAGGAACTGAGCCGCTGGCGAGCCGCCCCGTTCGTACCCGGGGCCCGCCTCGGGGATGGGCCACGGCCGGGGGTGGGAGCGCCCGCTACAGGGAGCGCTGTGCGGGCGGGGGGGTTCTGTCTCTTCTGCCTGCGGACGCCAGGCCGAGGCAGGTGACTGGGTCCTCCCAACACGGTGTGCCGTGCGAGTTACGAAGGTTGGGCCCCGCCACCCCGTGCGGCAGCCCTGGGGGTCGGCTGGCTGTGTGCGATGGCAAGCGCCAGCAGGACAAAGTGCGCGGCCTGCCTGCGGTCCTGCTCTGCTGCCGCTGGCATCCCTTCCCCTGCCCATTCCTGCTCCGAAGCCGTGAGCGGCAATGGGTTTTGTGCTTCGTTTGGCTCATGTGGCCGAGAGGCCTGGTCCTGGCTCTGCTTCTGAAATTTCCCTTGTGGCAGTTACAGTGTAGGAAGGAAGTGAAGCAACCCAGAAGCAGAACTAACAGCTGTGTCAGCAGAGCTGTTTCTTCAAACTACTCTATCTTCTAAGGCAATATTGTAAATGACCATTAGCCGAACACTCAGACTGGGAAAGAACAGCAGGAGCTGTCAGCTGAATTTTGTACATCCATGGTCTACAAAAATATCTCTGTATTGAGTTAAAAAGCAGCCATATGTTTCATATTTACCTGGAATGGTACGTACGTACATTCCCAAAATTATGCAGCCGTTTGGTTTCTGTCAGTTTATAAAAGGCCAATGAGTACACCAAACTCCTATCTACTTTCTTTTTTCTTCATAAATCTCTGTGGAAAGCAGGTTCCTGTTCTTCTGAAAGAAGTCTAGTGGATAAGCCTATGAAATTAGCAGATATTATAGAAATCCCAAAGGATTCCCTGCTAACTTGAAAACGACTGCACTGACAGGCATGTTTTTCTACAATGATCAATAATAAACTGATTTATATTCCAGAGAGAAGTTCATTTAGCCTTAATTTTTTAACTCTTAAACATACACAGTATCATCTCAGTGATTCCCAGATGTATTTTTCAGACCATTAGTAGTTCTGATACCCGTCTAAACAAACGATACTCTTTTCCCAGCTTCTAGGTATTTCTCCAGACTTTCTGATGGAAGCAGTGGAATGTGTCACAGAGGCATTCCAAAGAAAATGATAGAAGGAGAGACTGGAACTTCACTCAGTACACAAGAGATGAAAATCCATAGTGAAAGAAAGCAGAGAAGCAGGTAAGGACAGTACTAGTAAGAAGATTATGACAGGTAATGCAAAGTGCCCAGGAAATCCAAGCAAGAAGAATCTGATATGAAGAAACAGAAAGAAAGCAGAATATGAGAGGAAAGAAATGCATTAAAAGAAAAATATGATTTTGCTGTTAATTTTTTCTCTCATAAAAGATAGTGACAAATAAATGAGTATCATTAAGGTAACTTGACATTGGTTCTGTTATACCTGGATCTGTAAGTTCCATTTCTTTACAGTTATTATTGCTGTCTTTATATAATTTTATTCTGCATATCATACCATGTTTATTTTTTCCCTGAGTGAATTTCTGGAACTGAACTCTGATGTATGGAAGGTTCTGGAAGAGAGTCTGTATGTTTTGTTCGCCTCAGCTTTAGGACTAGGGTGAAAAGTAAGGAAATTGCAGAATTAAGATAACCAAATTTTTTGTTGCTGTTGGAAAGAGGCTTATTAGCCTCAATTCAAAATACGACACTGATACTGGAACAAGAAGCAGTAAGACTTTCCTAGAGTAACTTTTCCCTGAAGTAAATTCCAGGATTTCTGACAAAGCTGATATGTGACTATGAGTTATATTTCATTCGTTCAGATTTTATTCATACTGTTTCTAAGTCTGGAATGTCTAACTTGCCTTATTTTTAGTCCAGATCCTATGAGTAGTCACAGTTGTCTCACAAAAAAAATTGTGTTTTTTGCTAATTCATATGTCTCCATTCTAGTTAAAATCCCATTCAAATGTCATCACATTCTTACGGAAATTATTCTTGATCATTTAAAATAACTTTGAAAACCCACAGTGTTTGTGAAACAGAGATATGTTTTCAGAGGTAAAATGTTGTTCAAGCTGAATTCATCTCCCCTTGTAGAGAGTTGTCAAGATTTTTTTTCTGTTGTCCTGTTAAACCAGGATGATATGTAAACTGGTTGCCTGATCTGCCAGAGCTGAAGTATTTTAAACTACCTGAAACACACACAGCGGGTACTGTGCAGTCACAGTCTGAACGTTGCTATCTTTTTTTTTTCCCCTTGTTTTTCTTGATGCTAAGCTTATTACTATCTTGAGAACTAGGACTATGTGCACCTAATGAAGTTCAACAAAACAAAGTGCAAGATGTGTACAGACTGAGAGAACTCACTGAGCGCAGTCCTGCTAAGAAAGACTTGAAGATCCTGACTGATAAAAACCGTATGAAATAATTCTGCTGCAAGAGTGCCCTTGCAGCCCGGAAGGCTGGGTTGCATCAAAACAGGGTGGCCAGCAGGGAGAGAGAGGGGATTGTTCCTCTTTCCTCTGCGCTTGTGAGACCCCACCTTCATTACTGCATCCAGGCCTGGGCCCCCAGTGTAAGAATCAGAGTCACAGAATTGTAGGGGTCGAAAGGGACTTCTAGAAATCATTGAGTGTAACACCAAAGAAAGATATGGCACTGTTGGAGGGGATCCAGATGAAGGCCACAGAGGTGATTGAAGGGCTGGAGCACCTCTCCTATGAAGGAAGGCAGCAGGAGCTGGGCTTGTTCAACCCAGAGAGGGTTTTGGGGAGACTTCACTACAACTTTCCAGTAATTAAAGGAAGCTTATAAGCAGGAGAGAAACAGGTCTTTTACATCGAGATTTAGATTAGATATTAGGAGGAAATTCTCTACTCACAGGTTAGCGAGACACTGGCACAAGCTGCCCAGAGTAGCTGTGGGTGGATCCATAGAGACGTTTAAAGCCAAGGTTAAATGTGGCCCTGGGCCCTGATGTAATGGCAGTCCCTCCCATGGCAGGGGATTGGAAATGAATCTTCCAACACAAGCCACTCTATGATTGTTACTATTTTAGTAATTTGGATTCCCAAACAGACAATATAATATATGTCAGAGAGTGATATGTCTTGAAGATATGTCAAGATATGTCTTGAATCAAAGAAAAAATCCTGGAAATGACCTGTGTTCAAGTCCCCTTAGTTTTAATCAATTTGTTTTTCCCTGCAAGCCTTGATCTTTGGAGATGGGTGAGCATTCTTTTCTTGTTTGTCTCTTTGGCCACTTCACCCTTGTATCACCTTTCTACATGCTAATCTTTCCGAATGTAACAGAGCAGTAATAAAGCAGCTAGGCAAACTAGAAAGCCCCGCCAGATAGCACTTACAACACTTAGACATGTTTGCTTAAAACTACTTGAGATACCTCTACTGTGGATTACACTGTAAAATAGAAACCAAGGTCATTCTTTAGACAGAAAGGAGTGCAGCAGTCTCTCAGACATACTTTTTTGTCTTATTTGCGGCTAGTGATGATCATGGTTTTACAGGATGATTTTAGTCTTACAAGTCAGCAGCAGTAAGGAGACTTAATTTTGTTTTGCTTTGTCTATATGCAGCATTCTGCAATTTTTGTCTGCTTCCCTATATCTTGAAACTAAATTAAATTTAACTGGACAAGGCTCAAGCTTGGTGAGACCCAAGAACAATAGCTGTTCCTGAGCAGCCCACATCAGAATTTGGGTTTCTTCTCTAGTCAAGATTTGAAACTGAAAATTAGTGTAAGTAATTTACATGACAGTTAATCTAAATTAAAGCACCTTCTTGAATGCCTTACTGAATAAAGATAAAATTTTTCAGCAGTCCAGTGTTATGACTATCTATAAAATGAGACAATATAATGTATATGAGGAGAAGTTAGTTGCTGGGAGGTTACAGCTGGAAATGTGCTATAAGTCCATGAGAAGTAGAGTTTCTGAACTCAGTTTGGAATTGAAGGAACTGCATCTGTGATTGATCATCTTTTGCTCAGGTTACAGAAAGTCTGCACCTTCTGCCATCAGACTGATGTGGTTGACCTGTTAACGAATAGCACATTTTTTCTTCCAAACTGGAAAGAGTTACAAGCCTGATTTTTAACTTCCAGTTAGAAATGTGGATGGAATAAGTGAAGCAGCATTCTGTATAACAGAGCTACTTAGGAGAATACATGTGACAGCCTGCCTCAGAATTACTGTTATTGTACAATCCCAGGCATCAAGTCTGGTGAATTTGCATATTCACTGTTTGCATATGAAAATTCAAAACTATGTTCCTAAGAATTGTTCTCTCTTCCTTCACATTTTAAATAGAACACTATGACACTGTGCTGTATTTTAGCTTTCTTAAATTTTCACAGAAACATTGTGGCTAAATGCCTTTTTAAAAACAATGTCGCCTTTACAAAAAGTATCACCTTTGATAGGTTCAACAAAGCAGAATCACTTACAAAAGCAAAATAGAAGATTATTTCAGAATGGATTTTTCACCCAAGGCAGTACTACATGCAAACTTCCAAATCTTTTCTCTTGATCTTCCTTTTTAAAAAAAAATTTGGAACAGCACAGTGTAATGTCAGTGTGGAATAAATCTTTTAATAGGTGTAAATGTTCACTGCTCATACTGTGTTTCTCCTTGTATATTCTATTTATACATTTCCTTCTTTGAGAAAGATTTAGATAAAGTAATTGGGGAAAAAAAATCATTTTGAGTATTATTTATAGTCATATGAACTTCAAAAATGTTTGTGTGTAGCCTAAAAATGAGTGCTAGAGATCATGTGACATTTTAATTCAAAATAATTGATGAGCATGTTATGGAATTCAGAAATGTGTTTCAATAATTCAGTGTATTCCCACTATTTACATTATCCCAATCCTACTTATTTGGCTTATCAAATATAAGAACCTCATCTCCTGTGGATTACAATTTTTTCACTGTCAGTACTTCTGTCTAACAACATATGGCTCTAATTACTGCTTAGTCTACAATTAACAGGAAAAGGAGGAACAGAAGATCTTCAGTGGCATGCCTGACTACACATTCAGACCAGTGAGTGCTTGATACAGTATTTTAACGTCCTTTCAGTGACTAAGCAATAACATGTACATGTTATCTACCAGCTAATCTGTATGAAATAATGATGAACATTTCCTGTAACTGTTGCATTAAGAAGATTTTGATCATTTCTGCCAGAGTGATACATTGAGGGGGGGAGAAAAAAAAATGCAATTCAGTTTGCCTTTAATACTGTCTTTATTACTTTGTAATGATTTATGGGATAGATTTCCATTCTTTAGAGAGCATTTCTGTGCAGAACAGTAATATTATTTTATTGATAAGTTTGTTAACTCATAACCAGTTATAAGGATAAGCTACTTTACCCCAAGGACAGGCAAAGGAGGAACTATGAGTTTCCAGTTGAAGTAAGAATTTGCTATTAGTCAATACTAAGAGCAACTTCTTCCTCTATCTGAATTCAGATCTGCCAGCCAGCATCTGAGCAAGCTGAATCAAACCCAGCCACTTTCTGCTCTCAGCTGTTACTGAGAATAGTGGAAACATACTGGTCCATCAGCTGTGCTCGGATCTCTGAAATGAACAGTGCATACAAGGAAGCAAGGGGGCAATGCCATCAAATTTCTCAGTGAAGAATGGCAATGAGATTCTTACGTTCAGTAATTAAGAAACCTGAGTAGTTTAATTCTCTTAATTGCATGATATAAAAAGAACTGCACAATATACTGCACCATTTCCTGTGTTCTCATCTGTGTTTATATTTTGGGACTTTGACCCTTTCTCTGAAGGCGTGTTCTTGTTGGCTCAGTCAGCACCAGTGGCTCTTGTATAATAGTTGCTGAATAATTTTTTCCTAGAAGTTCAACTTCCAACTTCTGTCCAACTTTGCTGAGCTCTATGGGAACATATGCAAAAGCCAGACTCTGCTTAGTACTATAGCTGAAACTTCCAGATGTGGTGTTGCCAATAACCTGGGGGAAAAAAAAAATCCTTAATGCATATATTCAACATCCATGGAGTTTGTTTGTTGGTTGGATTTTTGTTTGTTTGTTTTTTAAGATATACACCTCAGATACTAATTTTCGATTGTATATTTCATATGCGAAGTAAATTTCAAGTGCATCGTGCTGTTCATAACATTATCTGTGAATGGCATCACCTTAAGCTGGTAACTTTTTGCTCCCTGAAAAAGAGTTTATTCCTGTTGCTTTCAGTTCAGTTTTTACCAGCAATAAACACTACACACACACGTAGATACACAATTTTTATATGTATATATATAATTGATACACAATGATTTAATTGCTACTAAGTATTTCAATACATAATCTGAGCTGAAGTGTGAATGCCTAAGCTTCACTGTTGTTTATTTTTCTTTTAAGCAAGTAACAGAAATTATCTTAGAACAATGATGAACTTGCAAAATGACTTAGTGGTTAATTCAACAGATGGTTGACTATACTTCAGTCTTCTATTCCTGTTTCTGTGACAGTACTCCATACATAAACAATGCTGCTTCCTACCTGAAGGTTAGAAAATGGTGTCGTGGCTTACAATTCTTCTGTGCCAGCAGAACAAAGATATTATATTCACACTTGAAACATAAAGTTAGGTACTGTTTGTGAATTAACTTTAGCTTCTTGTAACATGATTTATTGTCATTACCTTGCCATTATGCCACACACTTTCATTTCCCTCAGGATCAACATCATCTGTTTCCAAGGTGAGATATACTAGTCGTCGTTTGAGTCCCTTTTCTTTAATTTGCTTCAGTGTTTTCTTTCCTGTAAAGTCTGCTGGCTGAGAAAATAGAAGATAATATGATATTCAGGTTACTCAGGTTCTACAAGAAGCGATAAAAACATTTATATTTTTTATTGGCTTTCCTAGCACTTAAGTATTCTGTATGAAATACAGATTAAATCAGTTTGTTGACAGACATTATACTTTGTATCTCAATGTTTTTATATTTGTACATTTCATCTTGGTAATTTTATTCAGCATATTAATTTTACTAGATCCCAGTCTTTCAGTGTCTGTAATTCCAACATATGTGTAGGAATGCATATAGCAAGCTGGATGTTACAGGACCATCTGCCCGGTTAAAACCGTGAGTCAGACAGTTAAGTTTCATTCCAGTTTCAATTCAAAAAAATAGTAATACGAATCCCTAAAGTTCTGGCCTCCCTCTCTAGACACACATCCTTTTTGATGGCATCAGCAACTACTACTGTTACCTGTTACAATTCCATTTTGATGCCTCCATGCCAGGGTGCAAATCTGGCAGATTACTCCATATTCTTGTTTTAACTTACATATGAGTGAAAAACTCATATCTACCATTTTAAGAGATAACAAAGCATGTTAGCTACAGAATAATGCTGCCACTTGGAGTTTCCTTTTTCAGCTTGCCTCGTAAAATACATGCAGATCTTCACCTTTTTAGAAGCAGACTGCATAAATGCATGGCAAGTACTGAGGGAGCCATCTGTAAATCTCTGAATAATAAAGGATATGTAAGTATATATTGTATGCAGCTATGTTGAGCTGGCTGAGATAGCTTGATTCCATGGCCAGGATCGCTGATTACAGCTTATTTTGCCTACAATTAGCTGTAACCCTGACTTTTCTCATACAACTGTTTAAGTCTTAGATGTAAATCAGATAGCTTCCTTGCTTGATTAGCTGGGAATTAATTGGAAAGACAAGCCATAGAAAGAGCTGTTAGAGACTTCGTGCTGCTGGACAGAATGTCTCAAGTGTCAAGAGGGCACTTTTCAACACTGCTGATAGCCTGGCTGAAATGTGTCTACATCAATGTACATAGCATGGGAAACAAGCAAGAGTTGGAAGCCACAGCCTAATTAGAAAACTATGACCTAATTGCAATCACAGAAAGATCATGGGATGATTCACATCCCACAGTGCACAGAGGGCTGGAAACTTTTCAGAAGAGAGAGGCAGGGAAGGAGGGACAGGGAAATTGCTCTCTATGTAATGAGGAGGGTAGAGTGCAGTGAGCTGTGTCTGAGAAACAGCCATGATCAGTTTGAGAGATTGTGGGTGAAAATTAGGGACTGGACTAATAAAGGATATCTGATGTCAGGATCTGGTACAGGCCACTTGACCAGGGGGAGCATATTGACGAGGCCTTCTTGCTTCAACTACAAGAAGTATTGCACTCATAGGTTCTCATCTTGATGGGGGATTTTAAACTACTGGGATGTCTTTGAAGGCAACATGACAAACTCTGTTGAGGATAACATCCTGGTCAGGTACTGGACAGATCAGCCAGGGGGTGAAGCATTACTGGACCAGGTGCTCACCAACACAGAGGAGCTTACTGAAGAGATTAATATTGGAGGTACTTTGGGCTGCATGCCCTGGTAGAGTTTGTGATCTTGAGGGAGACAAGCCTAGCAGAAAGGAATTACTAGATGAGGTTCCCTGGGAAGCTATCCTTAGGGACAAAGGACTGGAGCAGAGCTGGCAGCTCTTGAAGGATGCCCTTCTGAGAGCACAAGAGTCTCTGTCCCTGAGTACAGCAAAACAAGCAGAGGAGGCAGGAAGCCATCAGGGCTGAGCAAGGACCTGCTGTTCAAACTGAGAGATAAGAAGGACATATGCAAGCAGCAGAAGCAGGGATGGGTGGCCTGAGAAGGATACAAGGTTGCTGTCTGGACATGCAGAAATGGTATCAGAAAAGTCAAGGCATAGATGTAATTGCACTTGATAAGGGATGTGAAAAATAATAATAAGGGATTCTACAGGTACACTAAACAAGCAAAGGAGAGTGTACTGCCTCTGATAAATGAGAAGGGAAAACTAGCTTCAACAAAAAAGGATGAAAGGTGAAGTACACAACAAGTTTTTTGTCTCAGTCTTTACTGGCAGTCAGGCTTTTTGTGCCTCTCACATCTCTGAACCTCTAACCCCTTAACCTCTAGATGAATGCTGTGGGAGCACACTTCAGTTTTAAGAAAAGAGCAAGTCCTAGACTGCCTCACAAAATGGAATGTATGTAGGTCTATGGGGCCTGATGACTTGCATCCCAGGGTCCTGAATAAATTGGCTGATGTAGTTGCCAAATCACTCTCCATCATGTTTGAAAAGTCTTGGCTGTCAGGTTAAGTCTCCAGTGGCTGGAGAAAGGAAACATCACTCCTGGCTTTAAGAAAGGGAGAAAGACCCAGGGAACTACAGGCTAGTAAGCCTTACCTCTGTATCTTGAAAGATCATGGAATGAGTCCTCCTGGAAACTTTGTTAAGGCACATATGAGACAAGATGTGATCCAAGAGAGCCAGCAACGCTTTACCAAGGGCTAATCATGCCTGTCCAGTCTAGTAACCTTGTACAATGAAGTGATGGCACCAATGGACAAAGGAAGGGGAGCTGATGTCATCTACCAGGATTTGTGCAAGAATTTTGATGTGGTCCAACATCCTTATATTTAAATTGGAGAGATAAGTGATCAAAGGATGGACTACTTTGTAGATAAATAACTTGTTGAAAAGCTACAGCCAGAAGGTCTCAGTCAATTATTCTAGGTCGAGGTGGAGGCCAGTCATGAGTGATGTCCCCCACGGGCTTGTCTTAGAATGGATGCTCTTTAGCATCTTTATCAATGACATAGATGATGGGTTTGTATGCCTCCTCAGCAAGTTTGTGGATGACACCAAACTGACTGATGCATTTGATATGACAGAAGGAAGGAATACCATCTAAAGGATACTGGACAAGCTTGAGAAGTTGGCCTCTATGAACCAGATGAGGTTCAACAGAGCCAAAAGCAATGTTTTGCACTTGCATCAGGACTATCCCAGACTAGAAGAAACTGAAAGCAAGACTTGAGAGTTCTGACAGATGAAAAGCTTGGCATGAACCAGCAGTGGTGCCTGCAGTCCAGAAGGCCAACACTATCCTGGGCTGCATCAAAGGAGGGGTGGTCAGCACGGAAAACTGTTGCTTCCAGTATTTAAAGGAAGCTTATAAACAGGAGTGAAATCAAATTTTTAAACAAGTAGACAGTGACAAAACAAGGGAGAATGGCTTTAAACTAAAAAAGGGGAGAGTTAGATTAGACGTCAGGGAAAATTTTCACTCAGAGTGTGGTGAGGCAGTGAATGCCATTTTAAGACATACGGTCCTAGGTCACTGTGACAATTCTTGTGCATCTGAAGCAGAATTTCTAGTCATTTGATGAGTGCTAAAGAGAAAAGGAATGAAATAATGTTGAAAATGTCAATATACTATTTCTGGTACTGTTCTTTAATTTCTGTAAAGAATTATAGCACATAGACCCTAGCAGTTATTTGAAATACTCTTGTATATGTAATTGAGTGCTCTGCATATAGAACAACATTCGAAATGCCAAGTTCTGAAGTTCTGCTCCTTGTGAGTCAGCACTGAATCATTATTTTGTAGTAATACTAGCCAGGATTACAAGCAAAATGTATTGTACTCAGAATACATTACTGCAGAACGTGTTCTTATTTCTGAACGTCTTATTCAGGTTCACATACGTCTATCTGTAGGCTTAGAAGAAACTACTAAAGCACTGATGACTTTTGAAAGATTGAATTGTGCAAGCAATGGAGAAAAGCAGTGGATGTCAAGAACTGGCTAAGGATCAGTCAATCTGAAAATCAGTGTGGACCAACTGAGGATAAAGGCAGATGTTACACATAAGCATCATGAACATTCCACTTTGAAGTGCAGCA